AAACATGTCCCCGCGTATCGTTTTTAACAAGGAAGCCTCAGGGGGGTCGATACCCCTGGGATTGTGTAACTTCATATTTCGAATGGACATGTGGTCATAATCATGTATGATTTACATACCCGGAGAGGGGGGCGGATAACTCCAGGGGAGGGAGAGTCTATTTTTTTACAGAACCTACGCAATGCACTCTATGCGGGGCAACCTTTGTGATGCAATTCGCACTTCCGAACTTGAAATTGTCGACTCCACTGCTCGCGCAATCATCCCACCGACCCACCCGCAACTTGGTTTGCCAGACACTGGCGGGGGCGATTGCGATGCGTGTTTGGTGTTGGCTGGTGCATCTCTGCGGCCGCGCTAGCCCGCGCATGCTCGCGCGTGCACCGGCCAGCTAATTTGGCGCGACCAACGCGAACGCGGTTGCGCTGACCGCTAAGCACATCCCAGCGGGCACTTCAGTGCGAGTCGGCGACTTGGGCGGGCGCAGCATCACGGCAACGTCGACGACACTAGACGCGATGATGATAGTGGCGATGCTGGTGGCGATGTTGACAACGACGCAGGCGCGGCCAGTGCGGGCGCCGATGCTGATCGCGCCGACGACGATGACGGCGTCCTCGCGTCCGCGATGAAAATATTGGAAAGGATTCGGCATGCGCGCGCGGCCGACGCGCGAGAGCGGCCCGCATGGCACTATTTGACGCGAACCGCGCCCCCCCCAACCCCCAGCACGCGTGCAAGGGCGGGCGAATGATGCCGGCATGCGGCGCGAAGAGCCCGCTTGGCAGCATTCCATGCGCATGTTGAAAAAAAAAAATGTTTTTCTTAGGACATCGGGGGCGCGCGAACGCACGCTTTTTTGAACACGGATGTTGCCGAACCATATGTCTTACATATTGTTTTGCACACTCTTTCTTAATTCGTTACGGAACCAACGGTTTTTGCTAGATTTCGGCACGCGCGCGCGACGACGCGCCCGCGTGCGCTTCGTCGCATTTGTCGCAGAGGATTCTCGCGACGGCACGCGCGCAAGGGCGCTCGAACGATTTCGACGCGGGCGCGAAGCCCGCTTGATAGCATGTTCTGGAAATTTGGGGGAACAACTAGGGTTGTCCGAAGAATTCGCAAAAGCGCGCAAGAATTTATTGAAAATCCGCAGTGCGGGACCAAGTGTTTTCAATGTTATTTGGACACTCGCGATTCTTAAATCCTCACGAAGCCGGGAGCTTTCAAGGATTTCGGCACGCGCGCGCGACGACGCGCGCGCGCACTTCGTCTCCAACTTCTGTCAGGGATTCGTGACAACTGATGATGTTTGATAAACGAGTGCTCGCGCATCATAACCTGTTGCAGAAGATGGCGGAGGGGGGAGCGATGCCGGTTGGGCTGGGATGGCATAAATTCATATTGAAGATATAAGATGGACGATGGGACAGAATCAATTGCAATGCGAAAAAAGGAAGCCGAGAATCCCGGGGGGGTAGAGTCCATTTTCCATCTAGAGAGGAGATCCACCAATGCTCAACTTGAAGTTGCCCACTCCGCTGCTCGCGCAAACGTCGCACCCGCCCCCCCCGCAGCTTAGTTTGCAAGCCCCGTGCGGCGGCGAATGCGATGAGTGCTCGGCGCTGGCCGGCGCATCCCCGCGGCCGCGACAGCCCGCGCATGCGCGCGCGGCGGCCAGCTACATTGGCGCGACCGACGCAGCCGCGGCGGCGCTGACCGCTGGGCGCACACCCGCGGGCACTTCAGTGCGAGTCAGCGACTTGGGCGGGCGCGGTATCATGGCAACGTCGACAACGGTAGACGCGGCGATGAAAGTAGCGATGCTAGCGACGACGCTGACAGCGACGACGGCGCGGCCAGCGACGGCGCGGGCGCCGATCGCGCCGGCGACGATGACTGCGCCCTCGCGCCGGCGACGCACGCATCGGAAAAACAGTTCGACGCGCGCGCGCGGCCGACGCGCGAGAGTGGCCCGCGTGGCTTTTTTAAAAACGGACCGTGCCCCCAGCACGCGCACAACGGCGCTCGAAGGATTTCGGCGCGCGGCGCCAGAGGCCCGCTTGGCAAAATTCCATGAACACGTTGAAAAACTCATGGTTCTCTCTAGACGTCGCAAGATCGCGAGCGCACGCTCCCCGAAAGAACTGCGACGTGAGATCTTATTTTATTTTTGTTGTGGTGGGGGCGCTCGATTTTGAAATCGCCGCGGAACTGAACGTTTATGACTGGCGCTGGCATGCGCGCGCGACGACGCGCGCGCGCACTTCGTCCTATCTGCTGCAAAAAAGATTGCGACAGCGCGCGCGCAAGGGAGTTCGAGCGATCTCGACATGCGCTCGCGCGAAGCCCGTTTGATTGCATTTTCTGAAAACGATGGAAAACCAACGGTTTTTTCACGAGAATTCGCAAGAACGCGCGGGCAATCATTTTTTGAACATTTGCGTTGCGGAACCCTGTTTCTATATCCTATGTTTTGGACGCTCGATTTTGAAATCCTTACGACATCGAATGCTTTTGAGGATTCCGGCATGCGCGCGCGACGACGCGCGCGAATTTCGCCCCATTTGATGCAAGGGACTCTTGAAGACTTATGATGTTTGATAAACGAGCGCGCGCGTAATATTTTTGGCGGAGGATGGCGGGGGGGGCCGATGCCGGCTGGGCTGGGACGGTACGACCTCATAGCTAGACTGGACGATGGGGCAGAATCATATCTAAATTGCAATACGAACAAAGGAACCGATGATTCCGGGGGGGCTGCGGGGGGTAGAATCTGCCGTTTAGAAAAGGAAATTCACCCCGCCGACCTTGAAGGTGCCAACTCCACTGCTCGCGCATTCATCCCACCCGCCCGCCCGCAACTCGGTCTGCAAAACCCTTGCGGAGGCGATTGCGATGAGCGCTTGGTGTTGGCTGGTGCATCTCCGCGGCCGCGCTAGCCCGCGCATGCTCGCGCGCGCAGCGGCCGGCTACTTCGGCGCGACCGACGCGAACGCGGTATCATGGCCACGTCAACAACGGTAGGCACGATGATGATGATGATGATGATGATGATGATGATGATGATGATAGCGAGACTGGTGACGAGGTCGACAATGACAACGGCGTGGCCAGTGACGGCGCCGATGCTGATCACGCCGACGACGATGACGGCGTCCTCGCGTCGGCGATACAGGTTTTGGAAGGAGTTCGACATGCGCGCGCGGCCGATGCGCGAGAGTGGCCCGCGTGACTTTACTTGACACGGATCGTGCCTCCCCAGCACGCGCGCAAGGGCGTTCAAGGATTTCGGCGCGCGGCGCGAGGTGGATTTGTTGGTAGACGTCCATGAACATGTTGAACAACCATGGTTTTCTTAAGAATGCACAAGACCGCGAACGCAAGCTGTTTTGAACAGTGCTGTTGCGACACCATGTTTTTGATGGTTTCGTATGTTTTTGGGACACTCGGTCTTGAACTCGTTACGAAACCTACGGTTTTGGACGGATGCCGGAATGCGCGCGCGATGACGCGCGCGCGCACTTCGTCCTATCGGTTGCAAAGGATTCTTGCCGCAGCATGCTCGCAAGAGAGTTCCATCGATTTCGACATGCGCGCGCGAAGCCACGTCGGGTAGCATGTTATGAACAATAAAAAACTAAGCTTTCTATATCAAAAATCGCAAGCGCGCAAGTTTTTCTTTTGCATCCGTGTTGCCAAACCCTTTGTTGTTTATATGTTTCTTGGACACTCGATGTTGAAATCCTCACGGCACCGAGAGTTTTAGAAGGATTTCGGCGTGCGCGCGCGACGACGCGCGCGCGTGCACTTCGTCCCATCTGTTGCAGAGGGTTTTTGAAAACTGATGATTTGTAACAAACGAACGGCTTCTGCAAAGGATGGTGGGGGGTGTCGATACTGGCTCGGTTCGGATGGTATGACCGAATTTATGTTCAGGATGGAGGATGGGGCAGAATCGCATGTAACTTGCAATGCGAAAAGGTGAACGGATAATCCCGGGGTGAGGGGTAGAATATACCTTTGTTCTTTTTCGAAAAGAAAACCTACGTGACGGCGACGGCGGCACCGCCCGCAAAAGCCACCACTCGCCCCGAGCGGCGGCGACGGCGACGGCGGCGATGGCGGCGACCGGCACCGCCCGCAAAAGCCACCACTCGCCCCGAGCGGCGGCGACGGCGACGGCGGCGATGGCGGCGACGGGCGGCATCGCCCGCAAAAGCCGCCACTCGCCCCGAGCGGCGGCGGCGGCGGCGGCGACGGCGACGGCGGCGACGGGCGGCACCGCCCGCAAAAGCCGCCATTCACCCCGAGATGGTTAAGCCAAGTAAGACCTCCTAAGTGCAAGCACTGTTTGGGGAGCAATACCATCTGAATTTCAAATTGTCCGTGCCAATCTTCCACGCGCGAGGTTCCGATACTGCTCCACGACGGCGCCCAGGCATCCAAACATAGCTCCTGCATGCTCCATTATGATCGAGAGGGGGGCTGGCGGCAGAGGGCGAAGATCTTGCGGATACGCTGCCGATAGATCGGCGATGAGCCACAGATGGCAGACCCGCTCAGTCCTGGGCGGGACGGGCTCATCCTCGGGCCCCTATCCGCAGTGAGCGGGCGATTGGGGGGCAGAGGCGCCCCCCCTGAGCCCGCTCCCCCCCTCCTCATTGCCGCCGAGCCCTGGGCCAGGGCCGCCTCGGGCCACGCCCGATCTGAGAGCATCCGAGGCTCCCCTGGCGATCCCTGCCGGCCCCGACGCACGTCTCGGGTCGGGCGAAAGGGGGGGATAGCAAAGGGGGGGTTCGAGAATCAGCTCACGCAGCTGATTTTCCCGGCGCCTCCCGGCGCCGCCGGAGGCGGTCATGTATCGAGGAATGGGCCCCTCGGTGGGGCCGAACCCAGCTGCACGCAGCAGATTTCCTAACCCCCCCTTTCCCAAAATCCCCCCCTTTCGCCCGACCCGCACGTCCGGGCGCGCGCCCGGGCAGCGGCCGGGTCACGGAGATTGATGTTCGGGATGAGCGTGGTGTGCGGCAGCACCTGCGGGCGGCAGGCCCTCGCCCGCCGCCCCCGCGGGAAGGGGCGGGGCCCAGCGGGGGATCCCCCGCAGGCAGGGCGCCTCGGCGCCGGCCGGAGCGGATGCGACTGGACCCGGTGCCGCCCTGCAGGAGGCGGAGTCCAGCTGCAGCCCAGGGGATACCAAGCGCCTTGGCTCCAACTGGAGCCGATCCGACTGGACCCAGCGTCGCCCTGTAGGAGGCCGTGTTCAGTTGGAGGCCCACTGGATGGACCCCCTCGGCTCCAGCTGGACTTGCTCCAGCCCGACTCGGCGCCGCCAGAACCATCCGCACCTCGTGCGCGCGGCAGGTACCGCGGAGGCGCGGCCGCGTCTCTCCGCCATCGTGCCACGAGGCACGAAGAGGAATGCTCTCAGGTCCTTCCGACTCGACATGGTGTTGGCCATATCCAGGCTCCCGATTCCCAGAAAACCAGGGCGCTCCTTGGCGCTCTCGGGAACTCCCGCGTGTCTTTTCCAGAGGCCCGGGAGCGTGGTCGGGCAAGTTGCCCCCCCAAGGGGCCGAAGGCGGGGGTCTCAAATCGCCAGGACCCCAGGAGGAACCCGAGAGGCCGCCAAGAGGCACCCGGCGGCCGCCTGGAGGGCCCAGCAGGAACTCGAGAGGCTCTCCCGGAGGCCTCGAAGAGTCCTCCGAGAGGCCCCCCGGAAGGGCTCAGGAGGCATCCGAGAGGCACCTGGCCCACGAGCCCAGGCAAGATGGCGGGTTGGGCCGCCGGCACCAAATCCTGAGCCTGCTCGGTTGAGCATGTGATGCGCATGTGATTTTCCGCTCTCCCAAGGAACGGGCAGGAGAGAATCGAATAACCAAAAACTGCATAAACATAAACTTTCGGAGGTCCTCGCGAACTTCTTGAGTCCGCGCTGGAGCCCCCTGGCGCGCGGAGCGCGGCAAGGGCGGTGCCGGAAGCGCCGCCGTGGGGGCCCAACGCCGATCCAAGAAATCTGCGCGGAGCGCCGAAAATTTATGTCCATGCCGTTTTTGTTCAAGAGAAGCACGCGCCCTCGCGCAACGAAACTCCGCCGGCGCCCTCCGCGACAAAAGGGCATCCCGTGCCGCACAGACTCCGGGGCACGTCCCTCGTGCGCCGCCAGGACAGGTCCATATCCTGAAGCCGGGCCTGTCCCTCTACAGGAGGAATGCTCAAAAATGGTTGTTAAAAATAGTATGGGGACTGTTTTTTGAATATGTTCTGGCCATTCTGGCATATCTTTTGAATGTTTTTTTCTGTCGTCGAAAATCCCCCTGTAGGGGACACGGCCGACTTGACCAGATCCACTGCCGCGGCATTGTGCCCTGGGCCTCGGGCAGCAGTGGATCCGGACAGCTGCCCGCCCACGCGGGCGGGCAGAGTTGTCCACACCCGCCGCTCCTCGATGAGATCACAGGCCACGGCCCCGCGGCAGCGTTCGGTGGCAACTCATGGGAGCCTCCCATACCATCTTGTCGGCTCTTGCGAGTCGACGCTAGCCGACGCTAAATCGACGCGAATCGACGCTAGATCGACGCTAATCGACGCTAACCGACGCTAAATCGGCGCTATCTCATCGATTCCCAGACGCTGGTCCCAATCGACGCTAGAGACTGAATTACGAGGATACACACGGCCCTCATGATTTGAAACCGAAGGTCACTCTTACAGTAGGAGCTCGACCACAAGAAACCTTCCACCGGAAGCCCAACCCTGAGGCCCCAGGGCGTCCCTTCATTTCTGGCGTGGGAACGTCGCGCTTTCCATCGCAGAACCCTCGAAGTCCAGGCTCCCCTGATTTGCCACCGAAGCAGTGGATGTGTACGCATCCTGGCGGTGGATCTCGCCGCTCGGGTGACCAGCGCACGGTGGCGGCGGCGGCGGCGCCGGGCGGCACGGGGAGCGGCCGCAACTGCCCTCGGGGCCCGCTGAGCCGTGAAGACCCGCCGCCTGTCGTACAGGCAAAACGCGCATCGAGGACGTGCTGCAGGGACGCAAGACCCTTGGGAGCCGAAGTTGGAATCCCATTAGCCCTCCTGGCCATCACTCGGGCATCCATTCCCTGTGTGTTTTCTTGGTTTCGTGCGTGGTTTTCTCGCAGGATGATCCAGGATGCTCCTTACTGATCCCTGCCGAGGAAAAGTGCACACGTCCGAGCGATACCAAGCCTCTGGGCGTAGGTGGTCTAGGGAGCTTCCTCTTCCAACCCCGCTTCTTGGCCTTCGGGGGGTGGTGTCCCCCTGCACCCCTCCGGGCCACGAGGTGTCAGAGCGCGCTTTCTCGCCAAAGATGGCTCCAAGAGCGCCTCGGAGAGCCTAAGCCGCAATACACTCGGAGGCCGAAAGTGGACTTGTTGGGGCGACGGGCGACAAGTGAAAACGGCAAAGGACGGGCCGCAGAGGCAAGGACACAAGTGTACCCTGTATGAAGGCGCGCGTCCCTACTCGGCGCCTTGACTGTACTGCTCCTCCCGCCCCCCGCCAGAGGGAGAAGAAAACACGGCATAGGCACAGACTTTCGGAGGTCTGCGCGGATCTACCTTGCGTCGGCGCTGTGGACCCCCCGCCCCTCCGCCTGGCGCGCGGAGCGCGCCAGGGGCGGCGCCGGACGCGCCGCTAAGGGGTCCACAGGGCCAATCCGAGAAATCCGCGCGGCCCAGCGAAAACATATGTTTATGCTGATGCTTCTACTCCGATCGAAAGCTCCACTGGGGAGACCCATAAAAAGTTCCGCCACGGTGCTCACAGCATTCACGGCGAGTTGATGGCCTTGCCGAATGCCGTCATCTGCGCCGCCCCCTTGAGCGCCTCGGACAGCGTCGGGTGGGCGTGGCAGACGCGGGCCAGGTCCTCGGAGGCAGCGCCGTACTCGATGCCCACGCATGCCTCGGCGATCAGCTCGCCGGCCAGGGCGTTGACAATGTGAACGCCCAGCAGCTTGTCAGTCGCCTTGTCGGCCAGCACCTTCACAAAGCCGGCCTCCTCGGCCACGCACTTGGCGCGGGAATTGGCACCGAAGACGAACTTACCCTTCTTGTACGCGACGCCCTCGGCCTTGAGCTGCTCCTCTGTCTTGCCCACCCAAGCCACCTCCGGGTACGTGTAGATCACGGAGGGCACCGTGTTGTAATCCAGGTGCGGCGACTTTCCGGTCGCCAGGTATTCCGACAGGAGGGCACCCTCGTCCTCCGCCTTGTGTGCGAGCATGGGGCCCTGGACAATGTCGCCGATCGCGTAGACGCCGGGCACGTTCGTCATGTAGTTGTGGTCCACCTTCACCTTCTTGCCATCCATCTCAACGCCGATGGACTCCAGGCCGAGGTTGTCCATGAACTGCCGCCGGCCGACGCACACCAAGACCACGTCGGACTTGTCTACCGAAGTCTCCCCGCCGGCCGCGGGCTCCGTGCTGACCTCCACCACCCCGTCGACCTTCTTGACGCCAGTCACCTTCGTCTTCAGCTGGAACTCCATGCCCTGCTTCTTGAGGATCGCCAAGAAGTTCTTGGCCACCTCCGAGTCGATGCCGAGACCGCCGATGCTGTCCATGAATTCCACGACCGTCACCTTGCTGCCCAGCCGCGCCCACACGGATCCGAGCTCCAAGCCAATGACGCCGCCGCCGATGACGGTCAGCCTCTCTGGCACCTTGTCCAGCTCGAGCGCTCCGGTGCTGGAGACGATCCGACGACCCCTCGGGGGCACCAGCGAGAAGACGTCCGCCTCTCCCCGACACCCTCTGCTAGAAGAACCGATATTCGCAACGTGGGCCTCTTGGCCTCGAACGCTTCGCCGGGGGCGGCTTTTCATCTCGAGCCCTACCAATGACGGTTCAACGCAGGCCGAAACTTGCCAAAAACCCGCCGTCGTGTCTTTCCCCATGTCCTCGGTGGGTTTCTTTCTGTCTCTGGACATCACCGCCCAGGACCCCCCCTCCCTCATCTTCATCTTCTTCTTCTTCATCATCATCAGCAGCATCATCAATCATAATCACCATCACCATCATCATCATCATCATCATCATCATCATCATCATCATCATCATCATCATCATCATCATCATCATCATCATCATCATCCGCATCATCATCCGCATCATCATCGCCATCGCCATCGTCATCATCTTCATCATCCCCATCATCATCATCAGCATCATCGACATCGTCAGCATCATCATTATGATCACCATTATTATCATCATAACCATCATCATCAGCATCAGTATCATCGTCATCATCGTCGCCATACCATCATCATAATCACCATCATCATCACCGTCGCCGTGATCATCATGATGATCAGCATCATCATAATACTAATCATCAGCAGCATCATCAGTAACATCATCCCCATCACAACCATAATTATCATAATCATCATCATGTTCGTAATCCGAGCGTGTCATCCAGATCTTGTGACCATCGCCACAGTTTGGCTCCTGGGGCGTGGATCTGGAGGACGTCTCGAGCGGGAGCCTCGTCTGTGAGTGAATTGTGTGTGAGGCAGTCTCAGGCGGGAGCCACTTCCCCATGGGGCCGCCAGATCATGTTAGTAATCCGAGCGGGTCGTCCAAATATTGTAACTGTCGCTCCTTCTGGTGCGAGTGAATTGTGGGGATGTCTCAGGCGGGAGCCCATCTCCTTACGAAATCGCCAGATCATGTTAGTAATCTGAGCGGGGCAACCAGATCTTGCAACCATCGCCACTTTGGGGCTCCTGAGGCGTGGATCTGGAGGATGTCTCGAGCGGGCCTCGTCTGAGAGTGAATCGTGAGGAAGTCTCAGGCGGGAGCCACCTCCCCATGGGGCCGCCAAATCATTGTAGTAATCCGAGCGGGTCGTCCAGATGTTCTGACTGTCGTCATTTTGGGGCTCTTGCGGCGTGGATCTGGAGTAAGTCCCGAGCGGGAGTCTCGTCTGAATATAAGTGAGTATGAACGAGTATGAGTGAATCTGAAGTGAGGCTGAGTGGGAAAGATGAGAAGGAGGAGCTGAGGAGGAGGGTTTGTTCTCGAAGCTGTCTAAACAATACCAAGCACCCCACCTCAGGATATGGGGAAAAAGCCCCCAAGAGGTCATTCCAAGGCCAACATAAAATGCCCCATTGGGTTCGCGTGGTGTCCGGATAACCGATGCTTCGGTCTTCTCAGCGTCCGAGACAGAACAAAAGGCCTCCAAATCGCACCAAAACGGGCCAGAAAGGCTTCAAGGCGGCAAAACATCAGGGAAACGTAAAGACTCGGGTGCGGGGGACTCGGGTTGGCTGCGGCTTGACGGGGGCCATTACGAAAATGACGAGTCCGGCTGCAAACGTCCCACGAAAACTGGGCAGTCAAAATTCAGGACGCGCTCGTCAAAAACGTCGGCAAACCCAAGTTCTGGCTTACTCGAGTCTTACGTTTCCTCGACAAAAGTGCCCCAAGACGGCCCAACAGGGTGCCAAGAAAACCAAAAGACAGCACAAGATGACCCCAAGACGCCTCCAAAAGCACTCAACTTCGGGACACTTCCGAAAAGGAAACCGAACATGCAAGCAATTTGGCCCCAGGGGCCCTCCAAAGGCCTCCCCCCGAGGAGCCTCCGCCGGTAGGAAGCGGAAGGAGGAGGAAGAGGAAGGAGGAAGAGGAAGGAAGGAAGAATGAGGAACAGGACGAGAACGACGACAAAGAAAAGGGGCAAGCATGTACTCGTATCTCTCCCACTGTATCTCTCTCTCTCTCCCTCTCCCTTTCTCTCCCTATATATATATATATATATATATATGTACATTGACACATGTATGGAGGCACGCATACACCAGGGTAGATATCGTTCTGCCCGTGATGTCACATACATGACCAAGGTGCACGGCAAGAAGTGCAAATGCAGTCTGGAACCTGTGTGGCTATACAGCTTTATGTGTCTACCCGTATCTACAAATATCTGCGAGAACGCGTCTCGTGGACGCTTGCTTGGGAAACACCCCGAGACACGTCGGAGGCCAAGGAAGGGATGGGGGGAACAAAACATGCGGCGCGCCTGGAAAACGGGGAGGGTGGGCGCCCGGACGCCGGCTTCTGCAGCTGGCCCTTCCCCCCCCGTCTAACAGGGGGGTGGGGATTCGAACCGAGGATGGCCCTTTCCAAGAGGGGGGATAGTTCAAACCGCCCCCCCCCCTTCCTCTCCCGACGCGCTGCTGGCAAAGAGCGCCTGCGACGACGAAGACACCGACGACGGCGACAACGTCAGCGGCAGCGGCGACGACAACGACAACGACGACAACGACGACGACGACAAACGACCGACGAAGGACGCCGGACGACAAACGACGAACGACGAACGGCTGCGACGACGACGACGACGACGGCGGAGGACGGAAAACGGACGACGATGACGGTGACGACGACGTAGGATGACGAAGACGACGACGACCAAGGACGACGACGACAACGATCACGTCAAAGACAACGGACGACGGACAACGAACGACGAACGACTGACGACGAACGACGAAAAACGGAGGCCGACGACCACAACGACGAGGACAACAGAAGACGGACGACGGACAACTGACAAAGATGATGATGACGTCAGGCGACGACGACGACGACGGCAACGACGACGACGGCGTCGACGACCGGAGGACGATGACGCCGACGATGACGACGACGACGACGACCGACAAACGACGACCGACGACCGACGACCGCCGACCGACGGCGACGACGACTACGACGACGATCGGATCGATCCAGCTCTGA